CTTCCTTTCTGAGGATGTCATTGCAGGATTGCAATATTACTAGTCTCGAGCAGCACGATTTATAACAGGAGTTAACTGCTTACTAATTAGCAGCTGGAACCGTTAAATTGGCTATTTGTTAGAGCTGGAATTAATAAACTGGTCTTTCAGTGGGGTCATAACTCTCCCCGTTCCTCACTCCTCCCAGCCAGCCTTCCCCTACCTGACCAGAAAGTGGCTTGCCCCTAGATTGAATCAATACCTCTCACTGCACGATTTTCAGAGACAATTTCCCTTGCGAGGTGATGACGCTATTCCCGCAAACTCTCTCTCTCCCCCTTTTTCCTCTCCCAGGCTCTGCCTTGCTGGAGACAAGCGAGTGAGCGAGAGATGGGAGAGCTTTCTAATAAGGCACTCTCACAACAAAAGCCCGAAGCTGCACTGCTTGGCTGAGGTCTGGGGCTCCTGGTTCCCTGGCCTCTCACGTACCCCGCCACTCAGCAGCTAGTTACTTAGTCTTCCTGGAGGTGGCAGGCTGGGCTTTCTCTAGGGCAAAATAATGGGGTTTTTCTTAGAATATCATGGGTGGAACCCAAGAGTTGGCAGTTGGGTGCTGACCATCGATCCTCCAGACAGCCTGTGCCCAGTGGTCCACTTCATGGATGCCTCAGGTCCAGTGGTCTAGCTCTCATCCCCCACCCCCCAAGAGCCCAATTTGGGGCCCAGAGGACTGTTCTCTATTCGAGAAGAGAATAGGAACACTTCTTGTGAAAATATCTACTAAATACCTAGGCCCTTACGTCTCTTCTGTACCGAACAGTGGGAAAGAGCAAGGCCGCAGAGCCCACTTCAGCCACTTAGCAGCTGCGTGAATCACTGAATCCTTCTATGTTATTCTATGAGAATAACAGTCCTGTCTCACATAGTTGTTATGAGAATTAAATAGTTAATACACGTGAAGGGCTTAGAACAGTGCCTGGCATGTGGTGCCAGCTATTACTATTATTACTCGCTTCTCTCAACCACTCTCCGAAATAGGGACCCTACTCACTTTACACCTGGGGAACCTGAGGCCTAGAGAGGTTAAGACCTGAGCTCAGGACAGATGGCTCCTAAGCCTAGTGCTCTTTTCCTTCTCCAGGCCGCCTCCCATTGTCAGACTCAGGGCTCTGTCAGAGGCAACAGGCAAGGCACACCTAGTGGAGGAGATGACTGAATTTACAGGCACGCGCAAGCAGGCTGTCAAGGTATTTACACTGCATGCAATTAGCTGCAGAGTATTCACAAGTGGATTAGCTACAGCAAATGTTCAATTCCAGCCTGGCTAGAATTTGGTTCTCTGCTCCCCCTCCCTTTTATCCCTCCCCCATCGCAACTCTTCTCTCTCTAGGCCAGTGTAGGGATTCAGAGATGGTAAATTCAAGTGACTGTCAGCTGAGTCAGTGGGGTTCCTTGTTCACCAGTAATGCACCCCAAAGCCAAAGAGGATCAATTAACTATTTGGGGTTGGACTAGCTAATTGAAAAATAGGAAGGCAGTTTCCAATGACATGGACAAATGCTCGTTCAACTCAAAATGGGCAAAGCCAAGGAGGGTGGGAATCACTGTGATCACTCCCTGAGAGCTTCCTGGAGGAGGTGACGATTTTTGAATAATGGGAGAAAGATGACAGTAAAAGAAGCTACTCACCATCACACCCTCAATTGGTGCCACTTCCTTTTCAGACTGGGTGGGGGAGGTTGGTGGGAAGATACAGAGCCTGATAGCTCTGTATCTCTGTGAGGCAGAAAATGGATTTTTCTCTTTGGTTTGGGGGGGTGGTAGTGGGGAGTGAAATTTTTTAAATTTTGTTTTGATTTGCGTAGAAAAGATGGTGGCATTGAGGGTATCCTAGGTCTGTGGTATCTGGCCTATGATGGGAATCACTCATTCATTTAACAAATATTCAGTTGGCAACTGCTGGGTGCCCAAAACTAAGTTGGATCTGGTTCCCCTTATTCAGCCTTGGACCCGCAGGTAAGGAAGGAGAGGAAAAAAAGGAGGGGTTGAAAGAGGAGAGATCAAGTGGAGGGTGGGCTGCAGAATAAGATTCTTCCGATAAAAGAATATGAAAAAGAATGTATGTATTGGGTTGGCCAAAAAGTTCATTCAGGTTTTTCCGTAAGATGTTATATATATAACTGAATCAGTTTGCTGTACAGCAGAAATTAACACAACATTGTAAATCACCTATACTCCAATAAAATAAATTAAAAAAAAAGATTCTTCCGATGGTCTCGGACTTTCCGAGATGGACAGAAGGAAGCTGAGATGTTACCTGATGGCACGACCCCCCCCCCCAATGCTGCCTGGAATTTCTCTAGACACCTCACATTCCTGCCACCCTACCTCCGAAGCTGGGGGCACGTGCTCCTGTGAGGAGAGGAGGGAACCAGCAGGACATGCGCCTGGGAAAGGGGTGGGTATTTTTTTTTTTAATTTTGTTTTAATTTGCGTACTGAAAAATAAAGTCTTTTTTGGTATACAGTCTTTGAGTTTCGACAAATGCTTGGAGCCGTGGGCCACCATCACAACCAAGATATTACGCAGTTCCGGGGGGTGGGGGAGGAGGGTTTTTAATCTCCCCTCTTGTTAGTTGCTGCGGTTTTCCGCGCTCCCACGGGCAGCCCTCATACAATCCTTGCGCACACGCCGAGATAAATAACGGCGACAGGTGGAGCAGGTGAGATTAGCAAGACCTGGGTAGAGGAAAGCGATCGGAGGTGCGGGGGAGGCCGCCCGCCTTGCTTCCTAGCCTTTACCTCTCCCTGCCGGCGTTTGGGAGGAGCACTCTCCCCATCCCTGCTCTCGGAGGGCCGGTTTGAGGTAGCGGAGTCCGGGAGTGCGGGACCCCGCAGATGGAGCTGGCCCCTGGCTTGGCTGCTGAAAGAGAGGGCGCCTGAGGTCCTGAGGGGAGGCAGGACGGAGAGAGGGGCGAGCTGGGGATAATGGAAGGTGGCCGGGGGAAGCTCTGGCTGCGGGGTCCTGCGGACAAACCTGTTGGCAACCTGCGGGCCGAGGCAAGGGCAGGAGCCCCTTTTCGCCCCGGGCTCAGCCAGCTGCTCCGGCGGTGGCCCCCAAGCCGGACGGCGGGAGAGGCCGAGGCTGCCTGGAAAGGGGCGGGGCTCGGCCAGGGGCGGAGGGACTCCAGGGCCGCGCAGACAACCCTGCAGACCCACAGCGGGCGACCGGCTCGCGAGCCTGCAGGACCCCAAGAGCCGCGGGCGCCCCGGCCCCCGGCCTTTCCCTTCGACCCCCGCTTCAGTCCCGCCCCCCCAGAAGTACAAAACATTTACAAAGTGGGCAGTGCCCCGCAGGCTAGGCTAGAGTCCCCGGGGCGAACGGCCGTGCTTGCCCAGCGAGAGTACTGGGATCGGTGCACCCGGCTCGGGCAGCCGGTCTGGGTGTGCAAGGGCGGGCGAAGAGCGAGTGTGCGAGCGCGCTGCAGAGCCCGCGCCGAAACCCACGTCTCTTCGCCTCTGTCCTCGGGATAGATGGATCCATTTCTGCTTTCTGACATTTTCCTGCTGGGGGGATGGGGGGCGGAGAGAGGGAGAGAAGGGGGG